TCCCACAAAGTCCAAGGTGACTGTGAAAGGTTCAAGGGGGCAGGCTGCAGCTGGCTCCTGGCAGCCAGTGTTACCCACTGCAGAGTTGGCTTTGACAGGAGCTGCCAGGGCCAGGAAAACAAGATGAACACTGCTCCAGCGTGTCCTGTCAGCCCCCTCTTTGTACCTATTCCTGTTTTGTGTTCTGACCTCTGTGAACTCCATCACTGGCCTTTTCTTGGCCCTCGCTCCCAGCAGTGTTTGTCTACTAGGGGAGGGGCTGTGGCCAGAGGTGTATGTCATGGGTGTTGGGGGTATATTCCTCTTGCTGCTCCCTCTGCCAGTCATCACAGGTGGCCATGACCATCTCTCATTCTTTCTCCAGTGGCTGCCTCTTTCTGGGTTCAGTATCCATGGGTTTCTTGCTCTCTGACCTCCAGAGCACCCCCACCACTGCTGAACTGGGGTACAGAGTCATCTCTTCTAGCTGTGCCCCCCCCCCCCCGCCGCCCATCTGGTTCAGTGTTTCCTTCATGGAGCCATGAAATACACTCTGGTTTCCACACTTGAATGTGCTAACTGCACTACACAACACTGACTGCTGGGCCTCGATGCAGGGCTCAGAGGGCTTAGAAGCCACCCGGAACATTGGACCTGAGTTTGGGACTGAGCTACTGTGCTGCCCGGCAACACTAGTCCTGGCACAGCTGCTCTCCCACTTGCTTAGGATCTCTGATCCTGCACTGTGTGTTGGAAAGGCAGTGGGGATCCAGGAGCCTCGGTTTCCCGCAGAGTGGAGGTGACAGTAGATGACACCTACTTAGTGAGTAAGTTCCATGCAGAGACAGCCTCTTAGCATTTGCTTCCCTTTTAGCCGTTAGATAAAAATGACCAGGAATGACAGTGCCCACACTGTCACTTTGACAATATCTTAGGACTCCTTGTCAGCATGCTTGTGCACTTGACCTCTGCCTCCCACCTGCTCTGACCACTTCTGTAATGATGTGTCCCAGAGCAAGGGTGGCTAGCTTCCTGCTCACCCAGCTTGTCTTTAGGGAACTCTCCAGATCAGGCTAGATCCTGAAGATTCAAGCTCTGAGACCAGGAGTGCTCCGACTGAGCCATTGTGCTGCGTGTCTTCTGATGTCCTCCTGGCCTTTACATGGTGGTTCCCCCACCTCCAACATCATGTCCACACCCTTGAACTGGCAAATTCCTATTGAGCCACCAAGATGTTCTTCTCCAGAAAGCCTGCTTGGTCCCTGTGACAACTTACTTTCACTGTCAACTTGACTGGATTTGGAATCACCGGGGAGACACATCTCTGGGTGTGTCTGTGAAGCATTTGTAGAAAGGTTTAACTGGAGAGGGAAGGCTCACCCTGAACGTGTGTGGTGCCACTGGGCCCAGACTAAATACAAAGGAGAGCATGAGCTGAGCACCAGTGTTCATGACTCTGCTTCCTGACTGTAGGCATGATCTGACCAGCCACCCCATGCTCCCGATGCCATGCCTTCCCTGCTTGACCACACCCTCAATTGCGAGCCCAAATAAAACCCTCCTTCCCTAGTTGCTTTTTGTAATTTTTCTTTCTTTTTCTTTTTTAAGACAGTGTCTCATGTACTCTTGAAGTCTGGGCTGGTCTTGAACCTCTGATCCTCTGGTCTCCAACTCCTGAGAGCTGGATTACATGTGTCAGCTACCATGCCCAGCTGAGAGGTGCTGGGGATTGAACCCAGGACTTCATGCATGCTAGGCAGGCACTCTGCCAACCAAGCCCCAATTTCCGGCCTCTGTCACATATTTTGTCATTGCAATAAGAAAAGTGACCAGCACAGTCCTTTAAGCAATAATAACCATCAAAACATATTCGTTGAGCCCACTTTGTGCTGAGTTCTATTGTAAGCACTGGCTTTTAATAGTGGGAGAGATGGGCCCCTCCCTCAGGGCTCCTGGTTTGATGAAAGGCTGTCAGACACTAGTCGATGCCATTGGCTGACCCAACATGGTTGCAGACGCAAGCCACCTCTGCTAAACAGGGATGTTGTGGAAGACTTCCTAGAGGAATGAGCTATGTAAAGAGCCAAGCAGAACTTACAAGACATGGGGGACAAGCTGTGTGATATCAAAGTAAAAGCCCTTGGCATTGTCAGTGGGGTGAGTGAGGGAGAGCCAGGGAGTTGTGGCAGGTAGGTTATGGGTACAGCAACTCTGGCTGGGACCAGCAGACTGGCTTTTTTTAGGAGCCATTGGCTGGGTGTAGTGGCCTATGATGGTTTGAAAGAAAATGGCTCCAAAAGGAAGTGGCACTATTAGGAGGTGTGGCTTTGTTAGAGTGAATATGGCCTTGTTGGAGGAAGTGTGTCACTGTGGAGGTGGGTTTTGAGGGCTCATATATGGTCAAGCAACACCCAGTGTCTCAAAGACCACTTCCTGTTGCCTGTGAGTCAAGATGTAAGGACTCTCAGCTCCTCTCCCAGCACCATGTCTGCCTGTAAGCTGCCTTGTCTCCTACCATGATGATAATGGGCTAAACTTCTGAACTGTAAGCGAGCTACCACAATTAAATGTTTTCCTTTGTAAAAGTTGCCATGGTCATGGTATGTCTTTACAGCAACAGAAGCCCTAACTAAGACATGACCCATGCCTGGAACCCAGGCATGTGAGACATGGAATGGGGCAGGAGAATCAGGAATTCAAGGTCAACCTCGGGTTGATGAGTTTGAGGCCAGTCTGGGCTACAAAAGGCTGTCTCGAAATCAAGAAATCAAGCAAGCAAGCAAGCAAGCAGGCAAGCAAGCTAGTTAGTGGACAGCCCTGGGGCCTGCTTGGTTGGTGTGTTTCGTAGGTGGAACCAGAGGTGAAGGTTGGCCCTGTGAGAACAAAGGTGGTGGAAAGCTCACAGTTTGCTTGCTATGGGGGCCCTAACCTCAGTTTTCTGCTCAGACAGCCATTTTTTGGACATGGAGAGGCAGAGGCAGGGAAGGAAATAAGACTCTCCAAGATGCCCTTGAGCCTTGGAAGACTATGGAACAGGGCAGGGGCTGGGGCTCTGGCAGCCTCTCAGTGGAGTTAGGGCACTTCACTCACTCTCAATTTGGAGGAGGAAGCTGCCTGCAGCCACCAGGGTGGCAGAGGAAGTGAGCAGAAGCCCTGCCTTCCACCTCCGGACCCGGAACCTGTCTCTCTCAGGAACCTGGTCACCCTCTGCACTAGTGTGCTTCATTTCCTGGTGTGAAAAGAAGTGGCAGGTGAGTGCATCTGGCCTTTGCTTCCTGAGCTACTAGAATTTTCTATCTGTTCATATGCCCGGGTGGGTACTGGCACTCACGGAGGAAGGCAGAGATGCTCTGTGAATAGGAACCCAGAGCCACATGTCAGCTGGGGCCTCCCAGGAAGGGGTCTGTCAGTGGGAAACCCCTGAGTCTTGCCATATTGCCGAAACTGTCACCTCACTTTATGGGGGAGCTGTGAGCCCTGTCGATACAGAAGAGCCCTGCCTACTTCTCCTATGGCAGTTTTTTTTTGGACCAGGGCCCCTCAGAGAGTCACTGCATGAGGAGAAAACTGAGCTCCCCGAACATCAAGAAACTGTTGAATGGGGCAGGGAAGGGACTCATCTGGGACTGGTCACCAGAGGCAGTTTCAGGTCTGTGTGTACTTGGCTAGACACAGGGTCCACCCTCTTCCTGTAAAGATACATCAGGCAACAGAGGGAGCAGGCTGGCCTATAGTCACTCAGGCTGAGTGAGCAAGGAGGAGCTGGCTGGGGCCCAGGCTCCCCACCCCAGCCCAACTCTCTTCTTCCTCAGTTTGTGGGGCTTGAGACTTATTCCCAGGGGGCTCTGTCCTCTTGCTTCTAGCTTCAGAATAGGGTTCAGCTTCTCAAGGTCCCCAGGCTGCAGCCAGTTTGAGGAAGGTGGTTCCCAGGCCCCGCCAGTGCCTCTCCCTCCACACAGCTCTGGGGCTCTTTGAACTTCTTGTGGTTTGACCCCAGACCTCAAATATCTGAGTGATCCCTGGAATATGAAGCAGCTGCAGAGACTGAAAGAGGGATGGAAGGGAGAGTCAAAGGTGGCCATGCAACAAGGGAAAGTTACAGAGGGGAAGTGGGCAGAACTAGAAGTAGGTTAGGGAACCAGAAGGAGACCATTAGCTTCTGAGTCTGGTCCCCTCTGGGGGTGGGACAGGCCTGACACTGCCCAACATGAGGTGCGGTGGGGGCACAGACATTGCTGGTCTTGGGCCTAACATTGCCCATCATGAGTCTGAGTGGGATTGTTGGTCTCAGGCCTGATACTGCCCCCTTGTGAGTCAGGGGTGGGGTGGGGTGCTGCTTGTTTTTCCCAAGAAGAGTGTTCTCTGGGTGTCATAAGCAAAAGCCCCGAGAGACCACACCCCAAGTCTAGGGATTCCAAGCCCATCTGAGAAAGCCTCATTCAGAATTAGAGGCCAGACGGGCCAGTCTCCCTCTGCAAGCCAAGCCAGCATGGAATGGGGAACAGGTCTGGGTGGCTTTGGCCTGGGGTCTGATCTGCCTCATCCACAGCTGGGGGAGTCTGGTCTTGGATTCAGGGCAATGACCTGAAGGGATGGGTGGCCACTCCACCCCACTGGTGGGTGCTCATCTTGATACAGATTGACCCAGAGTTCCCCTCCCACACTTGTCTGAGGTTCTGTGAGAGCTGGGGTTCTATCCTGGCTGCAGAGAGAGGGCAGGGGATCCTGGCCAGGAGTGGTGGGCAGACTTCTTTCTATATGGCTGGCTGACAAGGAACCCACTTCCTCACCAAACCTCTGCCCAGACTTTGCCCTCGGCTTGTGTATTATTAAGTTAATACCCTGACAAAAGGAACTTAAGGAAGGAAGGGAGAGCTTCTTCAGCTCAGACTTTGAGGGTACAGCCCCTCGTGACAGGGAAGTCATGGCAGCAGGGGCATGAGGCAACTGGTCAAAATATATCGGGAAGATGAGAGACAAATTATGGTATTCAGCTCACTTTCTCCTTTCTCATTCAGCCCAGGACCAGCTCCTGGGATGGTGCTGTCCCTCTTACACTGAGGGAATCTAGGCATGCCCAGAGCCTTGCCTATCCCACAGGTGAGTCTAGGTTCTGCCACTGTGACAATCAAGATTAAGCTTGGCACCGTCTCCACCCTTGCAAGTCTTGGCTTCAGATGTCTCCACCAGGCCCCTCACCTCACCCTTGCTTGGCTCTTGGAGTTTTGTCCATTCAGGGAGGCACTCTCATCCTCCATGGCCACCAGTCTAAATCAAAGTATGAGTGTGTGGTGAGTCTGGACCTTGGGGACAGTGATGCGCTCTGTCTCCTGTCTCCTCCAGGGAAGGCGAGGGAGAAGATGGAGTCAGAGCCCCTCTACAACCTGTTGCAGCTCCCAAAGGAGGTGGATCAACCCACGGAGGAGGAACTCCCACGAGGTGCTGGTCCTGGTGGGACAGGGTTGTTGAATCAGGGAAGGGAGAGAGTGTGTGACTCTCACTAGAATGAGCAGGGGACTGCCCATGTAGCCATCTATCTATCCAGCTACCATCCACCCTCTCCATCTTCTGTCCACTCACTCATCCATGAACCATCCATCCATCCTTTCATCCATACAGCATCTACATATTTGCCCTTCTCTCTTTCCTTCTACCCCTCCCTCCCTCGTTCTCTCCCTCCCTCCCTTACTTCTTCCTTCATTCACTAATTCACTCATGTTATCAGTAGTCAACCCCAAGCCATGAGTGCAATGTTCTGTTTGTTCTACCATCATGGGTAGGTATACTCCAAGGTTTTGGGAGATCTAGCATCTATGTGGGTCACATGGCAGGTTATATTTTATGAGCTTAGGCAAGTCAGCCCCATGTGCTGACTCGATTTCTTCACGTGCATGGAGGTCAGCTGACTGACAAAGCCCCTCTGGGCCTGATGCTTTGTGGGTTCTATGAATCTAAAATGTGGGGATCCTGCTGACCAAGGCCTCAGGGAAGGGAGTGGTGAAGCCAAAGAGGGCACAGGGGACCTTGGTATTACATCCTGGCCAGAGCTGCTTGGCAGCATAGGTGATGCCCCCTTCAGCCTGGCATGTCCTTTGCTCCTTTGAGCTGTGCCCCACTCTAAGCAGATATATGTAGGGATTCCAGAAGATGCTACACATCTGCTTCATGACCTTCAGGGTAAGGGGTGACTCTGAGCTTAAGTGTGCACTCCCAGTGCTCATGAGGAAGTGTGAGTGAGAGGTGGGGCTAGGGTTCCCCCCAGGGTCTGGGTTCAGTGAGTGACCTGCAGTAAGGTATTTTCCAGGGGCCCTCAGGGTACTCACACACATCACACACACCTCTGCTTCCAGGAGAGAAGAAGAAATACCTGCCTCCCAGTTCTCGGAAGGACCCCAAGTTTGAAGAACTGCAGAAGGTACACTATCATCATGCCCAGCCCTGAAGTCTCTGGAGCCAGGCTTGGTGCCCCAGACTTATAGACACCACACCCCTGTTCACACCCCACCCAAGCACCACCTTCCTCAATTCCAACATCATACCCTACTTTCCTCTGAGACATCACCCAAATCACCTATGGCCTCCATGTTTCTACAACCTGCTCTTGGGGCAGCCTAGGCTGTGTAACCAAGTGCCCATTGCCAGTCATTGCCATCACCCAATTCCACGGCCATGCCCCCAGTTTTAGGTATTTGTTACAATGATGACAACTCCAAGGTACCAAAACACCACATCCTAGGATGACAGACCCCCAGGGTTCAGGCTTGTGTCTGGGAGAACTTAGGAGGAACATCTCTGGGAGCTCAGAGCAGATTCCACATGCCCAGGGAGATCAGGGAGAACTTTCTGGAAGAAGTACCACTTGGCCAGGCCTTGAAGAGCGGGTAGTAGTTGGCAGGTAGAAGAGGTCACTTTAGCTCGAGATAAGAGTCTAGCCAGGTGACTCCTACCCTTGTCAGCTGTCCTCTTGTGACTGGCAGGTGCTGATGGAGTGGATCAACACCACACTCCTTCCAGAGCACATCGTTGTCCGCAGCCTGGAGGAGGACATGTTTGATGGACTCATTTTGCACCACCTGTTCCGTAAGCAGAGGCCAGGCCCCACTTTACCCCATCTGTGTTTCCTAAACAATTGTTCCTGGGGTTTTGGGGCCAAGTATCCCCCTTTGGCCCTTCAAGTGGATTCCTGCCTCAGCCCCCACCAAAGCCTCAGGGGAAGGGACCCCTTTATGGCTTTCCAGATTGTACATAAGCAGAAGTGGAGACCTACCCTTCAAGTGGGTTCCTGCCTCAGCCCCCACCACAGCTTCAGGGGAGGGGACCCCTTTATGGCTTTCCAGATTGTACATAAGCAGAAGTGGAGACCTGCCCACACTCGAGCATGGCAGGACAGAGTTATGGTGCCAGCCAGTGTCTAATGTCTGGGCTGCTGCTCCTTCTGCCATGCTGTGGCCTATCCAGCATTTATGAAGTGTCTGATGACTGTAGGAGGTGGGACTTCAACTGTCCCTGACCTCAGTGTGTCCTGTGCTGCTGGAAGGACCCAGGCTATCCTGAGTGAGACATTCCATAGGCAGGGAAGCAGGGGTGGTTTTATCTGGCGGGTCCCAGTGTGCCTGGAAGAGATGTCCAAAGTCAGGTCAAGTTTCTGCTTCTGGCTGGTTTTCCTACCCATGTCTGGTCTACAGATGTCTTGTGCAAGGAAAAGGGTCCTTGAACCAGCATATTCAAAGCCTCCTCAAGCCACTACTCTGTGGAGCTTGGCATATGGGCTCCAGAGTGATCCTCTAGGCTCTGGGTACTTCTCAGAGAGCAGGCACTATCAGCTTTCTGCACAGTTCATTACTGCTCCTCTCCCTGGCTATGGGTGAGACCAAGGCTCCCAGACACAGAACGATATGCCCAGGTCTCAGTGGAGAAAGCAGGTGTGCTGCCTTGTGGGGATGGCATGGCCCAGCAATGCAGAGCCCAAGGTGTGGGTAGAATGATCAAGGTGAGGTGGGCCAGAGGGGATGGCACAAAGGGTTGCAAATTGCTTACATACATAGTCCATGTGCCCTGTTGGTCCATTTTCCATGTAGATGGGTGTAGTTGGTTGCTTTTTTTTCTCTTCTGGCTCTTTTGGGGGGGCTGCCACCTAGCTCCCAAATAAATATAAAGGTCTGGCCTTAGCTTGGCTTCTTCCCAGCCAACTTTTCTTAATTTATATTATTCCATCTACCTTTTGCTTCTGGGCTTTTTCCTTTTATTAATTCTGTAATATTACTTTCACTCTTACCCCTTTTCCTTGTTCCTCCTCCTTTCTTTTTCTCCTTCTATTTATTCTCTCTGCCTGCCAGCCCCAGCTATTCTTTTCAGATAAACTATTGGCTGTTCAGCTCTTTATTAGACCAATCAGGTGTTTTAGACAGGCAAAGTAACACAGCTTCACAGAGTTAGACAAATGCAACTTAAAGGAATGCAATATATCTTTGCATTGTTAAGTAAATGTTCCACAGCATAAACAAATGTAATGCATCGACAACAGATGGGGCCTTCTTGGATAATGAGTATGCTTGGTTGAGGGTTCTGGGGTTGCCCAGGGCTCAGTATCAACAGTATGTGTCCCACTCTAACGAGGTGGCATTATCCTCATGGCAGAGGGTCCCTCTGACAGCTGCTGGACACTTATTGGCCCTTACTGCTCTTTTGCTTTCAGAGAAGCTGGCAGCCCTCAAGCTGGAAGTGGAGGAAATCTCTCTGACCTCAGCCAGCCAGAGGCGCAAGCTAGGGGTCATCTTGGAGGCCGTCAACCAGAGTCTGCAGGTTGAAGAGCAACAGGCCAAGTGGAGTGTGGAGAGTATGTGGGGCTGAACCAGGCTGGTACCTGAGAGGGGAGGTGACCGTCTGCACTGGCTTCTCACTTAATAATCAACACACTCATCTACCTAAGAACCAAGGGGGCTGGGAAGGACAGAGAGGCCTCAGGCAGCCCATAGTGTGAGCAAAAGCTGGACACAGAGTCAGGTGTCTGGTGAGAAAGAAACTGACTTACACACATGGCCCTGGAGGATCACTGCAGTCAGTGCAGCTAAGGATAATGGCTTCCCAGTGACACAGCCACTGCTGAGTCTAAGAACATACCACACTTCTCAGCTGGTCAAATGGTGCTCAGAGTCTGGCTTCATTAATTTTCTGCCTATCAACAAATGAGTGTGCTGTGTACACACGCTTCCCATCCACCCTTCAGAAAGTTTGGTAAACACACACACACACACACACACACACACACAGCGCGAGAGCGCGAGGGAGAGAGCGGAGGGGGCAAACAGATACACACACAGGCATAGACACACACAGACATAGATACACACACAGACATAGACAGGCAGAAAAACAGACAGAAACACACACACACACACACACACACACACACACACACACTGACCTCAGTGGTCCGCACAGGACAATTCTGAGGGTGTCTGCAGGTTTTGGTGGCCCCTCACCCTCAGCTCTATGACTTTCTGTTTTCTCCTCTTTAGCTATCTTCAACAAGGACCTGCTGGCCACCTTGCATCTCCTGGTGGCCCTGGCCAAACACTTCCAGCCGGAACTGCCCCTTCCAGACAATGTCCAGGTGGAAGTCATCCACATTGAGGTGCTTGTGAGGTGGTGGGGTGGGGGGTCATCTAAACATAGTGCTCCATGCCACTGCAGCTGTAGGGGTCATTGCATGGGGAGTGGCCCCAGCGATTATGAGGAACATCACATCCTATCAGGACAGCAGTTGAGGGCTGGGCTGGCAGAGAAAGGAGGGTAGGAGGAGGGCCCTGGCCAGCCAGTACTGCTCTCAGCAGCCAGCTCTGCCTAGCAGAGGCAGGGACAGGCACAATGAGAGGGAGGTCAGCTGGTGCCCGTATTTCCTGGGTCACAGGTGGCTGTCTTTCCATGGTCATTCTCAGTATCATGTCTCTCATCTGTCACCCATTAACACATACTGTCTCCTCTTCTGAGAAACCCTTTCTCTCTGGCAGTACTAGTTTGTGTTCTATGGTGTGTGTGTGTGTGTGTGTGTTTCCTTCTACTTGCCTTGCAAAACCAGCTGTATCCAGCTGGGCTTTGTCAAACCCATTACCATCTTTCCCAAGTCTTTGTTTAAAGTTCACCACTGAGCAGTTTCTCGGCTTTCTTACAAACTTATGTAAATCAGGTAAGGCTAACAAGAATAACCTAGCAGGTAAAGGTGTTTGCTGTCAAGCCTGACAACCTGAGTTCAATTCCTGAGACCCACATGGTAGGAATGGAGAATTGACTCCTGAAGCTTGTCTGTGACCTTCATATGTCCAATATGGCATGTGTGTACTGCCCCACACACATGTGCACATGCATGCACGCACATGCACACTAAAAAATAAATGGGAAAAAAATCAGAGGTGACCATTGTGTGTCCATTCACATAACACATAATCATTTACACACATAAACACGAACACATCCCTCTTGGGTGTCTTAGGAATGAGGCACCCATAGTGCCGTCCTCATGGGTTCAACAATCACAGGGAAAATGGACAGTGAAGCTGGCTCGCAGTAGCATCCTGAGATGGGGACAAAGCAGAGAATGCTAGGTTCTCTTACCCTGCTTTGGCCCTGTAGGCTTGGTTCTGGGGGTCCTCTGGAGTCACACCATTCCCTTTCCCTGCTGTAGAGCACCAAGACCGGCCTGAAGTCAGACAAGCTGGTGGAGCAGCTCACAGAAGAATGCAGGTGGGGTGGCCTTGGCCAGGTGGGAGGTGCAGGGGGTGCTGGGCCAAGGAAGCCCCCAACGTGCTTGCTGCTTCTCAATCCCCAGAAGGCTGCAGAGACCCCCAGCCCTGTGCAGGGAACTCCCCCCAGCCCAGACATCCTCAGCCCCACAGAATCCAAGTGTTCTGAGGTGTGTGTGTGCAGGAAAGCGTTAGCCTTGCTTTCCACACACAGTCTCTGCACCTCCTCTGCCTTGATTGCCCAGGAAAATGAGCCCATCTCCTCGCCACCTGCCGGCACCAAGCTTGTTACATTAGGTGATGAGAGAGCTGCAGACCTTTTGCTAACTCTTTGATTGCTTTTCTGTCTCCTGCAATTTCTCCTCTAGCTCACACAAGGACCAGCCTTCACGTAAGTAACTTGGTAACTGAAGGAAAATTTTTCCTTTCTGATGGGGTCAAAGGAATTGTGATGGAGCAGTTAACCGTTTCCACCGTGGTCTGCTACTCTCCTGTGGCAGGATTTGTTCATGAATTTGTCCTTCCTTTGTCTGCCTGGCCTTTAGCTGACTTCTTAGTACTATTCTTATGGGAAGAGACCCACAGTCCACACCATGAGGGCTGAACGGTGGTACTGCCAAATGCTGCTGACTCCCTCATTTGTTAGCCATGTAGGCGTGGGTAGGTACCTTAACCCATCTGTGCCTCAGTTCCCTCATCTGGAGCCCACCTCTTAAGCTGGTGTGAGAGCAATAGGAGGTAATCTGTGGGTGTGTTTCGCACATGGAGCACTCTCAATGGTATGAGTGCAATAACATGGCTGCTGCTAAGGGGACCTGAGGTTCACCAGTCAGGGCCAGCCATTACTTCTTTCACTTATCTGTTCCTCAGTTGGGCACACAAACTATTCACTCATTTGTCGCTTCTTTCAGTTATCCATCTATTTACCCACCCACTCATCTTTCGCTCATCCATCCATTCATCTATATAACTATACAATGATCCATCCATCTATACATTCATTCATCTATATATCCATCCATCCATCCATTAATAAATACACATATATCCATCCATCTCACAACACATCCCTCGTTCATATATATATATATATCCATCATTCATATATATACATACCATATATATATATATATATATATATATATATATATTATGTCATACACACACTCCTATTTCTCCCATTCACCCATCTATATGTCATACACACACACCTATTTATCCATTCACCCATCTATACACAAGCCAGCCAGATATATATCTACCCAACCATCCTCCACCTACCCACCCACTTATCCCACATTAGTTACTGAGATGCATGCTCACCACCCATTTTGATTTCTAAAATGACCCAGCCTAGCAGGTGTCATTCACCAGAGGAAATGGAGGTACAGAGAGGGAAGCCCCGGCTTCTCCCAGCCAGGGAGCCATGTGTCCCAGACCCAGGCCTGTTTCATTCAGGAACCGGAAGATCAAGCTGTGACTTCCATGGGACTTTTTTTTTTTTTCTGAGAAACTTTTGTGTGAAAACATTCTGTTTGGTGCAAAGATAGCATTGTAATGAGCTGTTTATCGCTCTGGTCGGCAGAGGACACCTTTGATGAATTATTTAAGCTGGCTCCGGAGAAAGTGCACACCGTCAAAGAGGTAGGGGAGATCAAAGCTTCCCATGCTGGTTGGGTGCTGGCTGATAGAAGGGAAGGCTTTCTGTCACCCCAGGTTGAGGTGGCATGAGGGTTCCTGAGTGGTCTTGAGGTCCTTGCTCTTTTGTCTTAGGCCATTGTGAGCTTTGTCAACCAGAAGGTGGAGAGTCTGGGCCTGTCTGTGCAGAGTCTGGACACACAGGTATGGACACTTCTGGGTCCCCACTTGGGACGAGGGCTCCTGGGCCCCAGAAACTTACCATGTGACTGGAAGTAAGGCATCACTTTCAGAGATCTCGGGGCCCTTTCTAGTGGGGTGTGCTGCTGGCAGGCAGTATTGCCCCAGGGAGCCCCTGGTACCACTGGGCTGGGGGCCTGTGGGAAGCCATGAAGGTTGAGCCATCTCTACTGCTGGCTTCATTTTTACTCATTTATCAAAATGACTCTTAGGGCATGGGATACTCTAGGGCATACTGAAGCCAGAGCGAGGGTCTTCCCCTGTGATGATGTTTATTCAGATGTAGTGCTGAGATTCATAAGGGGTCCCTTTATGAGGTTGGTGCCAGGAGTGTTGGAGACGCTGACACAGCACCACCCTCAGTGGGCTCTGTCCTGAGCCCCAAGGGCCTAGCCCACTGTGAGGACACAAACTTAGCTGTCCTAAGGTGGGAGCAGAACCCAGAAATCCAAAGAGCCTCACCTAGCCATGCCTCCCACAGATATTCCACTGTGTCTGTAGCGTTCCCACAACACAAGGGGATGGGAATGAAGAGATCTGACATTGCCTGGGCCCCATGGAGTAATGATGGGGTCTGGTGGACACTGGGCAGACCTCCATAGACTATCGGCCTTGTCTCAAGGTCTATGCAGAACTGGTCACAGCTGCTGTCTTCTCAGGGACAAGTGGGTGGCTGTTAGCTAGGGAGGGCCAGGCCACATATTCCCAAGTTTGGGGCCAAACAGGAAAGCTCTTGGTACCTGTTCTGACTGGAGCCAAGATTTCCCTGCCATCAGCTCTGCAATACCCACACCTCATGTGAAAACTGATAAAACCCCATTCAATAGATGAGATTTTTAAGACACAGAGGGACTAGGCAACTTACCTAAGGTTGCACAGTAATTAAGGGGTGGTCCTAAGTTTAGAACTGAGGCATTTGGGGTTCAGGTATATGCTCATAGCCACTGTGCGTGGTAGGTGTTCACATGAGCTTTGTAAGAACAGTGGCAACATAGTGGGGGTGGATTCGTGTGTGTTTCCATCCAGTGCCTGTCACTTTGTGCCCCTGGGCTCTGAGGACACTCCCATATGGCTGTGTGACCTTGGGTGAATTACTGGACTTCTCTGAACCTTAGGCGCCTTGCTTTATAAAATGGGAGCAATTCCACCTCTTGGAATTGGGAGTTGGGGAGCATTGCTATTTAGTGTCATTTAGTATCTGTCATTTGACTCACTGTTGCTTTCCCTAAGCAACACGCCCACCTCTGACTGTATTTTCTGTGAGACATAGGAGGACATCTCAGTTTTCTTACTTCCCTCATCTCTCCCTCCTTTGGTAAAACAAGAAAGAGTGAGCAAGGATGACATTTAGACATGTTGGGACGGTAGCAGACTCAGAGTTAGGTTTTCCCAGCTATGTTTTGAGGACAGCAGTAGAGAAGCTTCCACACCCAAACTAATAACATCCAAACTGACTTAATCGGGGGAAATTCCATTAAAGGCCGTACAGCGTCTCTCTGCGGCATCCAATCTCGTGCTTTGTATCTTTGAAGAGATTCAGTAGGATTACATTAGCATATGGCATGCTCACGGCAGCGTTATCTCAGAGCATGCAGACAGAACAGACAGAAATATTAATGGGCCTGTGTGCTTCTCTCTGCCTGTCCTGATGGCAGAATTTTATACTATCTCTGTTTTCACTCATGTGTCTGTAGCTCATAGAATAACTTGTCATTTAAAAATGGACATGATGGGGGTGGCTCAGCTGGTGAAGTGCTTGCCTGGCAAGTCAGAATCCTGGCTGTGGTGGCACACATTTCTTTTTTTATAGGTATGAATGCTTGCCTGCAGGTATGTACCTGTAGTACATGTGTGCATGATTACCACAGGGGCCAGAGGAAGGTGTTGGACTCTCTGGAACTGGAGTTACAGATGCTCGTGGGCTGCTCTGTGGGTTCTAGGTGGTCTTAACTGCTGAGTCATGTTTCCAGGTCCTGGCACACATAATTAAACCCAGTACTGGGTAGGCAGAGACATGGGGATCCCTGGGTATTCGGCCAGTCAGTCTAGTCCACTTGGCAAGTTCCAGGCCAGTGAGAGATTGCCCCCTTCCATCCCCAAGTAGGTAGGCTGTTCCTAAGGAATAATAAATGCTCTAGATTGTTCTTTGGCCTCTACATGCACATGCATATATGTGCATGGGTATTTACACATATACACATCCCTGCACAAAAGGAGAGAGAGAGAGAGAGAGAGAGAGAGAGAGAGAGAGAGAGAGAAACATGAGACTATTCCATAGAAAGTTTAGAAACAGCTCTTCTAATTGAATGTACTCGAAGAGCCAGACAGCCCCATGTCGCTGGGAATGCCACCCCCACTTCTTGGAAGGAACATGAGACTCAGAGAGGTACTACAACTTCCTTCAATTCACATAACATGTAACCCCTCCAATGTCAGCCTCTCCCACATGGGAGCCCTGGTTCCTTTCTTTAGTGTGTTAGTTCCTTTTATGTCACTGTGACAAATGCCAGGAGTGCCTGGTGGAGGACAGCTGTACACATCCTGGTGGACAGGAAGCAGAGAGCCCAGTAGGAAGGGGCCAGGGAGACTGCACCCTCCAAGGACCCACTCCCAGTAATCTACTTCCTAGAACCACGCCTCACCCGGTAAAGTTTCTAGCTGGGGACCAAGCATTCACAGCATGCTGTGGGGATGGTTAGGACTGAAACACAACACCTGTAGTTTGCAGATGGAGTCATCTTACTCCTGCTGATCGGACAGCTGGAAGGCTTCTTTTTGCATCTGAAGGAATTCTATCTCACTCCCAGCTCTCCCACAGAAATGGTAAGCTTCCAAGGTCTCCCTCCATGGGGAGAGGGTGGACAGATTTATGGCATTGGCCTGACAGTCTTTATTCAATTCCAAGCTGTGAGGAAGGTGGAAGAAAAGTTTGTTCATATGCTTATTTACACATTTATTCATCTCTCACTCATTCACCCATTATCCACCCATTCACCCACTCAGTAACCCACCTGTTCAGTTCATCCACCCATCCATGTGTCCATTCATTCATCTATCCACCCACCCATCCATTGACACCATCCACCTGCCAATTAATAATATACCCATATTCATTCGACACCTATGTACCTATTTATCCATCCATCCATCCACTCATCCATTCACCCATCAATCGACACCATCCACCTATCTACCCATCCATTCATCCAATGCCTGTGTACCTATTTATCCATCCATCCATCCATCCATGTATCCATCCATCCACTCATCTGCCCCCTTATCCATGGACCCATCCATCCATTCATGGACCCACCCACCCATCTATTTTTCTATGCATCTATCCATATACTCATTCGCCTACCTGTCTATCCACATATCTACTCATCTGCCTCCCACAATCACCTAACCACCCACTCACCCACCCACTCCCCACTCTCCAAGGGTCTGCTTCATGACAAGCCACACTGACCAGGACACAGTATAGTCACTCACAACTCTGGCTTTCAAGCTCTTCTATCTCTGCCAGCTGTGCTCCCAAGATTGTGGCCTTCCAGGGCATCAAGGCAGGGCGTTGGCTTCTGGTGTGCCCGGCAGGGACTGCCAGAGAGTGGTGCTGGTGGGGGTTTGTCTTACAGACTAGAGGAAGAAGGGTACCTTGAAGTGAGGAAGCAGACCCGGGACTGCTCAGGAACACTTTTAGGGAATGGTCTGCAGCTCATGATGGCCACAGGGACTGGCAGGGAAGGTCTGGTAGGCAAGTCATTTCACATGGACCCTGGAGCCTGGAGCTGCCAAAAGACACAGCTTTAATCCAGACAGGAAGTTAAGTTTGACCCCAGGAGGAACAGAGAGTGACAAGCCAGGAAGTCAAGAGACTAAGTGGCAGGGTATGCTCCCTCCAAATGTGCCCCCTGTGGCTGGGCCTCCCTGCTTTCCTCCACAGGGGCCCCGGCACCCTCCCTCTTCTTCCTCTCTGCCCACCAGGCTCTGCATCCAAACTTTTTACTTGTCTCCACTGGGCTTGGTTCAGGCTCTTCCCTGAAGAAGCCCTTTCCAGAGACTTCCTGCCCAGGGAGAAGACTCCCACCACCTTCCAAATAAGGACCCCAACCCCAGCAAGGGAAGGAGTACTTCCTGCTGGGTCAAAGACCAGGTTCTCAACTGCTGGTCTCAGGCTTCTTTTCTCTGAAATGGGTTTCTAGCACTGCCCTACCCACTGGCAGGTTGTGCAGGGACGAAGCAGTAAGCAGTAGCATGGAGACCCATCGGGGAGGAAGCTTGAAGAGTCACACCTCTCTGGTCCCCTGCCCTGCACTTTCTGTGGCTTCTATTTCTTCCAAGCTTCAGGTTATCCTTGAGAAGGGTGATGGAGGTGCAACCAAAAGACAAGCTAGAGTGGAGACAGTTGGTAACCAGCCTGGGACCCAGCTAACCTGTTTCCATGCCCCCCCCCCCCAATCCTAGGACTCCTCTGGGTAGTGACCTTTCCTCCTGAAGTAAAATCCCAGTCATGATGTCTATCCCTCCCCTCTTGGGCCCAGTGTGTCCTTGAATGTATCATCTGCAGTCTGGGTCCTCCCAGGGGCCTACCACCTCCCCAGTCTGGACCTTCTTCCCAGACTCCTTTGCTTTCCACCTACTCTGCTCTCTGCCTGTCTTGCCACATTGGAAGGCCCCGGCTGGTCCCCAGAGTTTAGCATCAAGCATCTTGGCCTTACCTGCCCTGACATTGCTAGATGTTTCCCCTAGCTTCCAGCCTCTGCTCCCTTCTCATTTCCTCAGAGGTCCCCTGGATGAAGCTTCTCCCAGGTCCCTTGGCATTGGTCTCCCTGGTCCGCCCTTCTGTACCCCAGGAAGAGGGGGGATGAATTATGTTCCCACATTACAGAGAAAGACTGAAGTCTTGGAGTCTGGCAGGCTCCCCTGGGACCACACAGATTCCTGATGCAAGTGTGGCCCTGAGGAACAATCCATCCCTGAGCCCTTCTTAGGAGCATGGTGAGCCTATGAGAGGCTCATAGTGTGGGACAAACCGGCACCCATCAAGTGAGGCGTCAAGGATGAACCATGAGAAGAGTCTTTGGGGGGAGGCAGGCAACGTAGGAACCCAGGCTCAGCAATGTGGACCCCTGTCTATGTCATTCAGCAGCCAGGCTTCTTGGGACTCAAGGCTCGTGCTTGCTAGCTACTTCACATGCTCCAAACCCCAGATACAGATCAGGCTAGTGCACAGAGGTCCAGCATTCGTGGCTAACTTGGGAACCCATTAGATTCTCTTCCAAGCCTTCAAGGGAATAGATGCAGAAGCATGATATTAACTCAAAGCCCAAGAAGGAAGCTTGGGGCTTGTGGAGGAGACTTGGGGAAGGAAAATGACTGAGAATACTCACAGGTCCTTAGCTGGAAGCAGGAAGGAACCCCAGGTGGCTGTCCTGTGGAGCGGCCTTGACTACAGTGTAGATTCGAGGATGTCAGCATTCATTTCTGGAGTAAAGTTAGGGACACGGAGAGAGGTGGCCATATACTTTGCAGAAATCAAAGCGCCAGAGCAAGGAAGCTCTAGCTTCCTCCCACGTTCAATTATCTCTCTCAGGAAGATGGGAATGCCTCTCCTGGGTCCTGGCCTTTCTTGGCTCTGCAGAGCACTGAGCTTTCTCTTCATCATCTCAAACTGTTCAGAAGCAAAGGACAGGCTGGGGAGGGTGAAGTGGGCCTCTCAGGAGCCTGACCAGATCTTTGGTTCATGAGCTTTGCAGAGGAAGTGTGCTAAGGGAAGCCTGGTGTTCTCTGATTCGCTCATACACACCCTCTAGCATGGACTCCCTGAGACAGGCATTTTTCCGATTCTGGGCTTTGTATATGGCCCAGAATTGTTGATGATCAACAAGTATTTTTAAAATATGAGAGTGATGGGCCGGCCACATGGCTCAGCGGTTAAGTGTGCTTGCTGCGGAGCCTGATGACCTGAGTTTGATCCCCAGAACCCACATGGTGGAAAGACAGAAATGATTCCTGCAAGTGTGTCCTCTGACGTCCACATAGGTGCTGTGGCATACATTCCCCACCCCATAAATAAATAAATGTAAAAATAAAACAAGTGCAGTTACAGGCCAGGGCAGCACCCAGGCATCCAACATCCCTGTCACAGTCCGCTTTCAACCCCACAATGTCATAACCTGTTTCAGACCTTGAGTTGGAATAAGTGAGGGGAACATGGTAGCTGTTTTGCTCAGAGTCCAAGAGCGGAGGGAGCCAGTGGAAGAAACAGCAGTGTAGGAGACCCAATGGCTGGTGCATGCTTGTAACTCCAGCTATTTGAGAGGCTGAGGCATAAAACAAACAAACAAACAAACCATCTGGTCACAGATATCTCTTCCTTGACATTAGGGATCACTCTCCGGGAGATGCCATCTTGTCAAGAGCATTCAGAGTGGAATTCCAAGGTGCAAAGCAGGGAGCTGGAGTTCCCTCTTTCTGATGCTTGCTTCCTGTGTCATGATGAGTCGCACTCCTAGTGAGAATGTATCAACAGTGGGGAGTCCTCTTTCCCAGGATGTTCTGTGGGGAGGGACTTGGGAACACAGAGGCAGGCCTGAGCCATGTGCTCTGGTCTGCATTTACTCAGCCTAATTCCTCTTGGTCTGGACCTTCCAGAGGGTGGCTAGCCCCGTAGAGCTGTGGGCCAGTGACCCACCTTCCCAGTGTTCCTATTTCAAATCATGGCCCTACTCCTTTGATAGCCCTCCAGCAGAGAAAGACTGCTACCACCTTCTGGGGATTCAATCACCTACAAGCCCTGGCTCCCATCTGAGACAAGGTCCCCTCACCCGGCAGCTCACATGTAGAGTGTCATCTCCACCAGAACATGCCCTGACACACACACACACACACACACACACACACACACACACACCTCCCACAGAATCTCCTTGGTGAGGGTCTTTCTCGCCAGCAATGTCTACTTGTTCAGCATGTGGCATCTGCTGAGGGCTGTGTGCAGATGAGGGCCTCTGTGTGAAGGAGTGAGCTCTCCATTCACAGGGCATGGAAGGAGACACACTGGGTGAGCCCTGATTGCTATTGTGGTTCAGGGATTCAAACCTTTCGTGGGCAAGGACAGATCCCATTGGTGACAGCATGGGCCTGGTGCCTGGGCCCAGGGTCTCATTGGCTGACATTCAATTTGCTTTATCATCATAGCTGCACAATGTCACCTTAGCCCTGGAGCTGCTGAAGGATGAAGGCCTGCTCAACCACCCTATCAACCCTGAAGGTGAGTGCATGGCTGCTCATTGCCTGGATGACCTGCCTGAGATGTGACTGAGAGCAGTTGTGGGGAGTAGAGGGACAAGCATTGCTAGTGGGGTCCCCCTTCTTGCTGATCCATAAAGAGATACTGACTGTGAGGGTTTCTAGGAGGGGGGATGTGGCTACCATGTCTGCAAGACTGAAGCCCCTGGGAATGAGTGTTCAGAGCAGCCAGACATCCAGTCACTATTGGTGGAGGGAACATGGATGCAGGGGAAGCCCAGATGAGAGAAGAGACCCTCCTGCATCCCTGGAGACAAATGGTCCTCCCTAGCCTAGCCTGACAGGCTGCCTTGCTCCCTCTGCCCACAGATATTGTGAACAAGGATGCCAAGAGCACACTGAGAATACTCTACAGCCTGTTCCAGAAGCATGCACTGAGGACAGAGGGTGCCGGGGTACCCCATGGTACCCCAAACTAGTCACCTCTGCCTCCCCAAGCCATTTCTCAGGACCTGCCACCCTTGGAGGAGCAGCAGTCCCAGATCCTTCCATGTGCCTTTGTCACTGTGGGTTGGTGGCACTCCCTCCCCCCCACACCTACCCTGCTCACATGCACTCATGGACTGATACCTTTGACCCCACCAGATGGGGATCTGTTCTGAGCCCACCTCTGCTTTGCTCAGTGTATTTTGACAGCTGTATGAATTGTATTTTTTGGGGGGGGTGTGCTCTGGGTGCCTGTGGATTCCTGGATGAGCCTTTAATTGTGGTGAAAATACTTTGGTTCCCAGGCTAGACCAGCCCTCAGTAGCCCCCAGTCTATTTACTGAGGCTATATGTGGATAGTTAGTGGCTGCCCAGCCCGCCCCTCCCCCCCACAAAGCTGACTTTTCCCAGCCAGATGCTCTTTGGCATTAAGGCCTCAGTGAGCCCAGTTGTCTACTTTCCACTTGGCCCAGGGTCATCACCCAAAGACCGGAGCCCCGTGAGGGAGAAGTGAATTCAGTTTCTTGTCAGAGAATCCTGGCCAGGCTATCCCTACAGCTCTAGTTCTGACCTCCACCCCAAGCCCAAGGGAAGAAGCCTGTGGTTGGTTCCTAGGTTCAGGCTATCTCTGGTCATCCTCGGGGAGCCATGAGCATTCTGTCATGTGAAACTTCGTGCCTTCTGCAGAGAGAGAAACAGCTGAAGATCTGAGTTGGGCCCATCGTGGCTGGAGGAGAAGCTGTGGTAGGAGATGCAAGGCATGGGGTGCAGAGATGCAGACATAATAGGGGTGTATGGATTCAGGGGTGCAGGGATGGCCTTGGGTGGTATAGTGGGACAGCTCTGCTTTGGGGGACTCTGGAGCTTAGTCTGGACAGGACAGGCCACCCCTCCCAAGTGAGTGGGTGGAGCTAGGAGTGACCTGGGGCACTAGTGTCTGATGTGAGGGGTCTAGAGGCTCTTCCCTCCACCCAGCTCCAGTCCACCTGTTCCCTTGCCTACTCATAAGTCTTACAGTGGGGGTCCAATCAGATATCTCCTTTGTCCTACAGCCTCCGGGACATGTCCCACTCCCGTGGTGGGGGCATCTTCACAGTAGCTGGGGCCTAATTGCCTCTACCTTAGGTAACCCCTCCATGAAGGCCTTCCTCTAGGCCCCATTTGTTCTCTCTGGAGCATCCTGAGCATCCATGCTCATCTCCTGAGCTCTTGACCTACTGGACTATCTGGCCCCTCCATGTCCTCACTTCCATGTCCCCTCCTCCTGTCTGATAGCAAACTTAAATCATAATAATGATACTTTCTGTAATTTTATTGAAGGATAACTAGCATGTCCCAGTTTAAATGTACAACTTAATGACGGTTGACAAGCATATGCAGTCACAAGCCATTCACCCGATGTCCCAGCCTTCTGAGCCCTGCCTTTAGAAGCAGCCGATCCACTTTCTGTTACTGTCATTTTATCTTTTCTACATCAGAAACTGCATCAGAGAGGAAGTAGTCTTCCATGTGTGGTTTCTTTGCCCTGGTACCATTCTGCCATCTCCAAAGTGACCACACAGCCCATCCCTCTGCTTGCTGGCCACAGGACCCTCAGTGGGTGCCAATCATTCACTCACGCATTTGCTGCCCACAAAGCCTGAGGGTTCTTTGTTTAGTTTTTATGTAGTCTGTGGGGGATGCTATTCATGTTTTTCAGATTGCTGTGCATGCTCACATCTTTGTCTGGATGCTTCCTTTCACTCGGCCTGGGTAAATACCCACGGCTGACATGACTGATTCATACATGATAGTATATTTTATTCTGTAAGATACTGTAAAAGGGTTTGGAGAAATAAATATACTGTTTTCATTGCCACTTGCAATGCCCAAGAGCTCCGGTGACTCTGCATCTTGCCAGCATTTGGTATTATCTATTTTTTCAATGTTAGCCATTCTAAAGGGTGTGTGGTGGTATGTCTGTTGTGATTTAAAAAGCAGCATGAGAGAAAGACGATAATTGGCAGAGCGTGAGTAAAGGGATCATAAAAAGGGGGAAGGGGGGAGGAGACTGGCCTCTGGGGACAGGAGCAGTGGGAGAGAGAGAGAGAGAGAGAGAGAGAGAGAGAGAGAGAGAGAACAGACAGAGAGACGGAGAGAAAGAGAGGAAGATGGGAGGTGGGCAGGGCCCTTTTAAAAGGGAACACAGTGAATGCCCTCAGATGGTGCTCTTAGTGACTGCAGCTGGGGATGTATCCTGTCAGAACCCCAACGGCAGGCCAGTACAGATGCCTGAATACTAACAATCTCACTGTGTGATTTTAAATGTTATTCCTCTAATGACTGACGGTTTTGAGAATCTGTTTCAGTTAACTCCAGATACTGTAACAAAACACCACAGACCAGGCATTTTAAATCACAGAGGATCTACCCAACAGTTATGGCAGCCGGGTCTTGTAAGATGGAGAGCTGGCTGGTGTGAACCCTCCTCCTGGCCCAGAAATTCTTTCTATGTCTTCATGAGGGTGTGTGTGTTGAGGGAGGCTGTCAGGGAGGAGAGAGGGAGAAAGAGAGGCTTCAACTTCTGGGGACCCACCTTCATTGGAATCTAATTATGAGAAATCTCATCCCCATATAGTGTCTTCCACATAGCATCCTGGGAGGGGGCAGGGACAAGGACAAGGACTCGGGAGGGGCAGTGTCCATCCTGGGCCGTGTCTTCTACGCTTCCCATCTCTGTGTCTTCCTTGGCAAAGAGTTGGCTTCCATCATTGGCAAAGAGTTGGCTTCAATCATTTGCCTTAAAAATGATTACAGGTTGGATGCCCTGGGCTAGAGCTAAGGCCCTGATGTGGGTGCTGGGAATGGAGTCTGGATCTTAGGCACTCTCGCCACGGAGATATTTTTCTGGCCTCATTTGCCTTTTTTTTTTTTTTTTTAGTCTAGAAAAATTATTGTAATTTAAGCTTTCTATGTAGTATTGGATGCATTTTGAGTTAATTTTTACATAGAGGGCAAGGGTTGAATTGTAATTTTTCCCGCTGGGTGCCTCATTATTCCAGAGCAATCTGTTGTAAAGACTTTCCCTTCGCCCAGCAAATCTCCACAGTGCCTTAGTGGAAAATCAGTTTGCCACATGACTTCCGGCCCAGGGCTGGGCGGTGCTCATCAGTGTGCAGTGTGCACCACAGTGGCAGTGCCAGGGTCTTCGCTGGGGAGCCCACGAGGTCTTGAAACCAAGCAGTGGGTCCCCAGCTTTGTTCTCTCCTTGCAAAGCAGCGCTGGCTCCTCAGAGCCCTCTTAATTCATTCTATCTAGATGTAAAATTAGAATCAGTTTGTCATTTTCTAATTTTAAAAAGGCCTCTGAGATCTCTATTGGAGCTGTGCTGACCCTTCAGGCAACGGGTGTCCGCCGTTGTCCTAGAACTCTGGGAAGCTGGGTCACTGACTTGGGCACCTCCTCTCTCCTCCTCCACCCACCCTCTACTCTCCCTTCATCTTTTTCCTCCTTCCTTTTCCCTTTTTCTATTATAATTTAAAAATAATTTTTATTAATTCTTTGAGAGTTTCATAGAATGTATTTTGATCACCTTTATCCCAACTCTCTAACTTCTCCCAGACCCATTCCTATCTCCTTAGCCCCCATCTTCATGTCCCCTTTTTTTATTTAAATAACCCACTGTGCTGCCCACAGACTCCCGGTGTGGAATATGGTCTAAAAACCTGGAGCCACATCCCTAAAGAAAATTGCCTCTCCCTCCCAGAAACCATCAACTGTCCATAGCTCCTCAGTAAGGGGTGATGGGGACTTTGTTGTTTGTTATTTGTTTGCTTGTTTATTTGTCTTGATATAAGCTCTTGTATTAGTGGGAGTTCTCTAGAGTAACAGAAATTATAGAATGAATCTATATATAGAAAGGGGATTTACTAGAATGGCTTACAGGCTGTGGTCCAACCAGTCCAACAATGGCTTCGTATGAATGGAAAGTCCAAGAATCCTGTAGCTGTTCAGTCTGTGGGGCTGGATATCTCAGCTGATCTTCAGCATATGCTGGAATCCTGAAGAAGTTGCTCTGATGCAGATGAAGGAATGGACTTGCTAGTGAGAGTGAGAGCAAGCAGGCGGAGAGCAAAAGCTTCTCTCCTCCATGTCCTGTTTATAGGCTGCCTCCAGGAGACGTGGCCCACATCAAAGGTGGCTCTTCCCGCCTCAAAAATCTGAACTAAAGATGTATCCTTTCACCTGAGAGATCCCAACTAGAACTGGGTCTTCCCACTCACATGAGTTAATTAAGAAAAACTCCCTCAGGTGGAGAGATGGCTCAGTGGTTAAGGGCACTGTCTGTTCTTCCAGAGGTTAAGGGCACTGGCTGTTCTTCCAGAGAACCCAAGTTCAATTCCCAGCACCCACTTGGCAGCTCACAAATGTCTATAACTCCAGTTCCAGGGGATCTGACATCCTCACACAGACATGCATGTAGGCAAAACACCAATGCACATAACATAGAAATAAATAAATCATTAATATTAGAATTATGTAAAAATAAGAATGATCTTTAAAAAAAAAAAAGCTCTGAGTTCTGTTCTGGACTACAGGTGTACACCATCCTGCCTGGATCTGAAAACCCTGTCTTTTGATTATGGTGTCTAGTCCATTTACATTTTTAAGAGATGTAGCAGGTCTTTCTTTGTACTGCTAGCTCCCAAATAATGACATGGAGACCTCTTATTAAGTATGAAAGCTTGGCCTTAGCTTAGGCTTGTTCCCAACCAGCTCTTATAATTAATCCATTTATATTAATCTATGTTCTGCCATGTGGCTCATTACCTCTGCTCAGTACCTTGTGCCCCACTTCCTCTATGTCAGACTGGCAAATCCTGCCTCTTTTCTTCCTAGAGTGCTCTCTCATACAGGAAGTCCCACCTATCCTCTCCTGCCTAGCAATTGGCCAAACAGCTCTTTATTAAATTAATCAGAAGGAGCCTTGGCAGAGACACATCTTCACAGTATACAAAAAGATTATCCCACAACATTTCCCCTTTTTGTCTAAATAAAAAGGAAAGAGTTTTAACTCTAACGCAGTAAAACCATATACAATAAGAACAATTACCAGGAAAGTTACATTCATAGCTGGGTGGCACACTCCTTTAATCCCAGCACTCGGGAGGCAGTCCAATCTCTGTGAGTTCGAGACCAGCCTGGTCTACAAGAGCTAGTTCCAGGACAGCCTCCAAAGCCACAGAGAAACCCTGTCTCAAAAACACACACAAAAAAAAAAAGAAAGAAAGAAAAGAGTTACATTCACAATATCCAATCCATTTATATTTGGCAAATTCAGAGAGAATACTATCTATCCTAGCTTGGCGAGTTCAAAGTTTTATACGTAAACCAATTTTTGTTACAACTTGTATTACCAACCTAAAAATATCCTTTTAGACCTTACAACATTTTCCTAGATAACACTGTTAAGCTGTTTGTCTCTCAGCCTTTTTATGCTTTTTCTTACTTTTGTGATGATTTTTTTTTAATTTGATAACAAAGAAAATGGTAAAACTATCTAGTCTTCAACTCCTGTCAGAGACCTAAGAAACATATTACCTGAATAAACAAGAAGTGTAGAGCAAACAACTTCCAAAACTATCTAAATGACAGAGGTATCTGACTTCCTGAACAGTCACCCAAGGTTCCTCTGCAATGTTGGAGCATCTTCAGTTTACAGGCCTAGAATATCTGGTAGACTGCTCTGTGAAGCAGGAATTTTGAAGGACTGGCCTGCATGAGGTGTTGGATCATCTGGAACAGGAATAGCAGACAACTGTGAGCTGCCATGTAGGTGCTGGGAATTGAACCCAGATCCTTTGGAAGAGCAACCAATGCTCTTAACCATTGAACCATCTCTCCATTCTCTTTGTTGTTCTTTCTTTAAACTTTTCTTTCTTCCAACATTTAAACTTTTCAGTGAGAAGTTGCCCATTCCTCCCCTCTTGCCCACCATATCTTTTTCTATTTGGCTATTTTATGTGATTTTTCACTTTATCTCTGTTTTGTTGTTTTGTTTTTCAAGACAGGGCTTCTCTGTGTAGCCCTTGTGAAACTTGATCTGTAGCCCAGGCTGGCCTTAAACTCAAAGATCTGCCTGCCTCTGCTTCCCGAGTGTGGGGATTAAAGGTGTGTCCCACCACTGCCCGGGTTTATCCCAGTTTTTCAGTCATGTGATCTTGAGGAGTCTGGGCATGAGTTTGGACTTTTGTCTTGTGTTTTGAGTTTGTGGAGAATTTTGGTTCTGTGGACTTACAATTTTTATTAAATTTGGAAAGACTTCAGTCATTATTTCTGCAAACAATTTGTTCCTCTGTCCCCCTCTCTCTGATTCTTCCTGAATTCCAGGTTAAGTGGCTTTTGACGTTGTCACATGTGGATGCTGTATTTTTGTGTTTTCTTTTTCTTCTGGTGCTAGGGATCAAAGCAGGAAAATCACACCTGCTGGGCCAGTGCTCCATCTGCACTGTAGTCCAGTGGTGCCTTCACTTTGTGTCAGCCTTTCTTTTGTTTGCAAGTCCATCGATCGATAGCTTCTCCAGCACAGTCTCCTTTGCTTTTATCTCCATTGTGTTTGCAACCTCAGATGTTGAACTCTGTCACCTTGGGAATCCATTTAGGCCATTTAAAATTTCTCCCACTTCTCACCATACTCGCGCTTTTTTTAAACCTTGCATGCATCCGAGGCCTATTTACATTTGTGTCTAAACAATTCCATCTACTGATCTGTCATCTGTGACATCTCTGGTCTTCTTCCCTTTGATGAGTTGTTCTCTTGGATTATATGTCTGTCTTGTGAAAAAAAAAAATGTATGCCCAGCAAGAATTTACATCATGGATTGTACA